TAGCTCTTGTTGTTCACAGAGACTCGTGGCAGGTAATGATGATATATTGTGTAGCTACATGTAACATGTATGTCGTACATAGTAGATGCATGTAGTTTGGAAGATAATTTGGGCAAGTTGCTTTTTAAAAATGAAGGTTCGGAAATTAATAATTTTTTACAAATGTTTTACCATGCCAACATCTTAAGTTAAGGTTTTGGTTTATAGGAATAATTTGTTAAAATTTTATTTGCCTAAATTGCTACTTGCTACCGGGCTTGGGGCAAAGTACATGTACTCTAAGAAGTATTTAAGTACATTACAAGTACCTGTTAAAATTTTTAAATGAGTACAAGTACAAGTCCCTCATTTTTGCAAATTGTATTGAGTATGAGTACGAGTACTCTATTGTAGTACTATTTAAGCATTTGACCACACTCAAATAATTATTTAAGCCTGCTTGATACCTATGTACATGTACATGTGCATACAGGATGTGTAGTTCTTCATTTCAAATGTACGGTATGTAATTTTACTACTTTTGTTTCTTGAATTCCTGAAATTTGCATTTGCATGATGTACAATGTACATGTACATGATCATTAAGTAATTTTTCATCTTTAATTGATACAACTGTATAACATACTGTGTGTACATGTAGATATATGATGCTATTGTAATTCATCCTTGTGAGCCAGGAGTATCTGAATGGATTTATGTCTACAACCTAAAATGGTAAAGTCATTTATTGATATTTACGATAAAGTACTAGTACTACCAACTTAATTTGAACACTTTTAGGTGCGTCTTGTAGTGACAGACCAGTTCCTGATCTTTGTTGGACGGGACAGGGTCACCACTCCCTTGTATTTGGGGATTTGTGTATTTTAATGGGATTTATGGATATTTACCGTAAAGTACAAGTATTACCAACTTAATTTGAACACTTTTATGTGCGTCTTGTAGTGATGGACCAGTTCCTGCTTTTGTTGGACGGGGCGGAGTTGCCACTCCCTTGTACATGTATATCAGGATTTGTGTATTTTAAAGTCATTTATTGATATTTACGGTAAAGTACAAGTACTAACAACTTAATTTGAACACTTTTAGGTGCGTCTTGTAGTGATAGACCAGTTCCTGCTTTTGTTGGACGGGGCAGAGTCGCCACTCCCTTGTACATGTATATCGGGATTTGTGTATTTTAAAGTCATTTATTGATATTTACGGTAAAGTACAAGTACTAACAACTTAATTTGAACACTTTTAGGTGCGTCTTGTAGTGACGAACCAGTTCCTGATCTTTGTTGGACGGGACAGGGTCACCACTCCCTTGTATATCGGGATTTGTGTATTTTAATGGTATTTATGGATATTTACCGTAAAGTACAAGTATTACCAACTTAATTTGAACACTTTTAGGTGCGTCTTGTAGTGATGGACCAGTTCCTGCTTTTGTTGGACAGGGCGGAGTCGCCACTCCCTTGTACATGTATATCGGGATTTGTGTATTTTAAAGTCATTTATTGATATTTATGGTAAAGTACAAGTACTAACAACTTAATTTGAACACTTTTAGGTGCGTCTTGTAGTCACGGATGCTTGTGTTAGAGAAAGTTAGTTGATGTCATGTACATGTAGCTATAATTTTTTGACTGTTTTATTATAGATTGGCTACAGGCAAGGACAGCCTCAGCCTGACATGTGTTAATCATATGATTGTTGACTGTTGAGTTGGGGGACTACTGTTTGTTATCCATTGTACCTGTAGAATGGACACAATGCAGTATCAGTAAGCCTTTTGTAATACATGTACATATAATACCGTATGGCTGGTAATTTTTTGGGTCCTATATTTCGCGAAATCTACTAACAATCCAATTCGCAGATTTTAATTTCGTGAATTCTACCACTTGTACCATGCAGGTACCGTGTTAAATTAATTTTCATGAATCAATAAGGAATCCGCAAAATCCATGAACTTTGCAACCCACGAAAATTACTGGCTATGCAGTAATGTCGGTCTTTAAATTATAAATACCGAAACTTAAAAGGAATTTAAAAAAATTGTACCACTTGTGCTGCTTTTAAATTTTTACCATGCACTGTTTATCAATTATGCATTGAACTTCAAATATTTTTTAAATATTTGTGCATATCTTTTGATTCTTTAGGAACTTACTTGTTCTAGTAATTAGGTAATTTTATCTCCCTTCTCTCATTCCAGACTCGGTTGCAATGGATGTTGATGTTCTCGTTTTCCTGGTGTATGGCAGCTTAAGTGAAGCATGGATTTCAACAAATAAGCAAGTAGGAAACTTGCCATTATTGATTCTACCAGATAGCACTGCTATTTTTCCATTACTAAATGCAGTTTTGTTTTTATTGATAATTCTATTTATTGTAGCTTTTGCAAGCTAGTGACAGCATTAATGTTTTGCTATAAATATAATATTGCATTAATGAATATTATTACAGTCTCCATGAATATGATTACTTTGTTATGAATTAAAGTTTATGATAATTTAGTCTCACATGATTAAGTGAGAAACAGGAAGGGAATA